GAGAGAGAGAGAGAGAGAGAGAGAGAGAGAGAGAGAGAGAGAGAGAGAGATTGCATTGATCAGTTGCCTCCACCATGAATGAATCAGCTGTCATATTTGTTTTTGCTAGCAAAGCTGCAACAGGTCATCTAGTTGTCGGAGTACAATGGGATAAGATTTAAGATCATTTATCGTGTTGCGGAATATTCAGCAATGCCAGATTGGAAAGTATGTCATGGTCACTGGTCTTGTGGGTATGATGTAGATTTGATATGCGAGCTTGGGGTTTCGTTCAAGGAAGAGCCACTTTGCATTATCCTGTCTTCTCATCGAACTAATTGTGTGCTGGGTTATGTTTGAGGGCAAAGCTCCGTCTTGTGGTTGATGTCAAGTCGTTTAGAGAGTAATGCTAAACCAACAGTCCATCCCAACGGATGTTGTCAGTCATAAAAAGTGAAGCACATGAGGGTGTTTTTCACCAGTACTGCAAGTTGGCGAATATGAAGAGGTAGTGTGTGACAAAAGGGCAGGCAGGTAGGCCTTATCATGGTGGCCTTATCGCTGGTACTTCGTTTTGTTTCCTCTCTTGTCTACTTTTTCTGTGTTTCTGTTTTGTGTGTTTCGTTTTTTGTGCGCAGAATAGGGCCTAGCTCAGTTGGTATACCTTTGAACCGTTGAGTTCAAATCAGGATGAACTAGGGCCACAATTCCGCCCAACCTCAACTGAGGGCCTACTCACGCTAGCATTTCCCCAAGTGTATCTGACATTAATCATTATGGTTAGTGTGAAGTCTGCCGTGAAAATTGGACCTCGTTAAATTAGTCAGCAAATCAGCCCCTGCTGAGCTGGGAGGGTGGTTTTCCAACGCAAGAAGAAAGTAAAACAAGACCAAGAAAAACAAAAAGACGCCACCTGGTTTGTTATTTATTTCAGGTTTTCTTTGATAAAGTTCTTTGTTTGACCTACACCGCCTATGATTCATCATTTCTAGTCCTGCGGCGGTACTTCTTTTTTGTGGGCGCATCAGCCCTTCCCTGCGGTTGCACTACTGGTATTCGTATATGAGTTTTGGATGAACAATAGTTTCAGATGGACTGGTGGTTTAAAGATCCACTGTGTCTGAGGCTGTTTTTACCTACCTGAAATCGCGTGGGATGCCAAATAAAACGAACCTGTGCGGGTGCGGTTTCTTGTCTTTTTGGATGTCTGCAAACTCACTCAGTTTTGGATGTAGCCCTGCACCTCCGAAAGCTTTGGATGTAGGCAAAGTTGGCAAACTCACTTCATTGTTTTCACTTGGGGCGTTTAGTGGTGGTTTAAGGCAGTCAATTGATACGCAACGTATGTAGTGTACTTGGAGACCTTCTGTACGGGGTCTCTATTTATAGACTGCGATGGTGAGTTGGTGCATGCTAGAGCTTTCTCTCAAAAGGTGTGTTTTGGATTTCTACGTTTTGGGTCCATGGCTCTTTTTGTTCAGGTGTGAAGCTTTCTCAACGTACCCAAGAACATACGACATGTTGCATGCTGCCGGACTTTTCAGTGCAGAGGGTCACAGGTGAGATCAGAAGCCAGTCCTCCCTCGTGTCGGTCACTCACTCCACTCCTTGCCGAATGTGAAAGATGGTGTGTGTTGTGCTGTCTTGTTCGAATGATTAATTTAAAGTTTAAACATGTGAAGGCCTGCAGGGCCTCTCTGTGGTGGTGAAAGCAGGGCGCCCTCCCTGTATCTGTTTCAGACTTTCAGTAGAAGAGGGCGTTCCTCTCTGCCAACCCTCAGATACTCAACTTGAGCATTGATGACTCATGCATGCAATCCTCTTTGCGCTTTATTGGTTCCCAACACCATGCCGCATGCATGCAATCCTCAGGCACCGGTTGGACTTTGACCAGTCTGGCCGGGTACCGGCGTGACCTTTTGACGTTTCGGCCTCTTCGGCCTCTTTTCACTATGGTCAAACGTTCTCTCTCTCTCTCTCTCTCTCTCTCTCTCTCTCTCTCTCTCTCTCTCTCTCTCTCTCTCTCTCTC